CCGCTTGAGTTTATATCTTTAAATTTATTAATTAAATCAGTTGATAATTCAATACCGCTGCTGTGTGACATTTTTATTTTTAAGTTAATTTATTAGTTCAACTCTGTCTTTTTTTCTTCAATTAAAAACTCCTTTTAAAGTTTTTGATTTTTTTAATTTGAAGAGCAAGTTTGAAATACTTCTTCCATAGATACGTGCGTTTTGAAGGACCTAAAATAATTTCCTCTTAATATGAAGAAAGTCAACTGTTGGTATAAACAAATTATTCTTTTCAAAAAGTAGTTGAAAGTTTATTACTTTTACAGTCTTTGTATTTCAACAATACAAGCTTTTTAATCTTAGTTATGAATAAGATCCTTAACAAAACATATGAGTAATAGTGCCTTAGCAATAATTTATTTATAATAATTGTAATGAAGAGTTCTAGTAAATCTGTGTGTTCACCTGGCTTGACTAAGTTTTGTTGTTGAACAATGAACTAAGAAAATAAGAAAGAAAACTAATCAACAAGACAAACAATTAATCCATTAAAAATAAAGAAAAAAATCGTTGTTTCAGTTAAAACACAAAAAGTGACAATTCACAATTAACAGAATCTTTTAAAAGAGACAAAGAAAATTGTTATTATTGAATAAAACATTGAAAATGAATTTAAAAATATGAAAGAATTAGTAAATAATTATACAAATAGAATAGAAAGCACGAATGGCCGAGTGGTCTAAGGCGTCCGCTTTAGGCGTGGATATCGAAAGATGCGTGGGTTCAAACCCCACTTCGTGCATTTTTCATTTTTATTAATAACAAAAAATTAAATAAACTGATTTACAATTAGATTTAAAATGAAGTATTTTTACTGATTTTAAACTCCATTTATAAAAACTTTAAAGGAAAGCAAACACTTTATTAGAGAAGTTACTTTAATACACATTTAATTAATAAAGATTTTTTTTTTTGTTGAAAAACTGGATATCAAGTTATGGTATTAATAAAATAGATAATAAACAATAAGAAAGACAAAAGAAACAAACAATTAAAGTAAAGTTGTTTAATGAAATGAGTGTTATTAAAATAAATGAATTAAAATATGAAAGATAGTAGTAAATTAATAATAAGAATATACATTACTCAGCCTACTAACTTTTTAATAATAATGATATTAACAGAAATACAGTACAACAGTGAATATAAAGTATAGAAAAGTTGGAGTTAAAAAAGATGTATATATTAAAAATAATAAAGAAAAGAGATACCAATATAAATAATAAAATAAAAATAGATAAGAGAATACTATAAATTAAATACAAAACCTAGATATTAAATAATAAGTTGTTTAATATAAAATATTTAGTTTTTATAAACAATTAAAATATTCATATCATAATCAAGTTTTATTATTTCATTCACACTTCCTATTAATATTAAATTATTGATTCAATTTTTATATCTTATAACAATTTTCACAAGGATATAAATATGTTTACTATAATAGAATAATTATTAATTATATCAAAATATAATTATTTAATTAAATTAGTTTTTCATATGAACAGAATATAATAAATCGAATAAGATATCAGGTAAATATAACAAGTAACAAATACTAATAAACGGAATAAATCTAACAAAAGAAATAAAAAATTATTTAACAATAATTGAAAAGATAAAATATCAAATAGTGAGAACTATAAAATAAGAAAAATGAATAAATAGAATAAAAATGAATAAAAGAAATAAGATAATATAAATTCAATGAAATAAACAAGAAGAAAAATAGAATATTTACAACATAAATTCTAAATCAGAAATAATAAAATTATTATTTAGAGTATTAAAAAGAATATCATTTGATAAATTTAAAGATAACAATATGTTCTAATACTATTTATTATAATGAATTCTTCTTGTTAAATTCTTGATTAAAAATAAAAGAATTAAAAAGAATGAATATTATGAAATCATCATTTTTTAATAATATGTAATATTTTGTATTTATATTTATTTAAATGTTTTATTTATTTAATTCTTAACTAAATGGATTTGTAACAAAAATTTATAATTTATAACTTTCACATACTTTTATGTTTCATCTATGACTATTTTGTCATTTTTAACAAATTTTAT